ATCCACATGAAGCGAGTTATCCACATCACGAAGGAGCAGGAACACCTTATCCGCAATACGGACAGTCGACTTCTTCTGGATTCAATCCTCCAAAGTCAACTCCTTCATCAGCACCACAGTCTCACGAAGATTCCACGCATCCCCCTTCATCAGTGAATGCTTTGTCTTCAACACCACAGCAGCAATCGTCAGGATCGACAGATCCCGTCAGATCGGAAAATCGTTATGTCCAATATGAACCCTCGCGTCGTCCTTATCCTGTTGAGCAATCGACATCCACCAGCGCCCCTCAGACCACCAACCCCAATGCGTCATCTCAACAATCTTCATCCTATAACCCTCCGACAGTCACTCGAAGTACGCCTGTATCATTACCTTCGCTTGCGCCTCTGAGTGCCACTGATCGAAATGACCGCAACTACTCGGGCGGTTCTAATGTGCAAAACCATCCCTACTTATCAACAAACTCTTCTTCATCCTCGCATTCTTCGTCACAGCACTCTAAATCACCGCAAATCACATCACAAAAACACTCACCCTACGAACAACACCCACAACCTCCGTATTCACAAACCTCATCAAATTCTTCGGCTAGCAGAATGTCATTCCCTCCTGTTAATGAACATCCTAATGGTGGCAAGAAAAACGGGGTAAGCCCTAACATGAATGTTGGCAATGAGCACTCTTCAAATCCTCCGTCTTCTCCGAGCTCTGGCTATGAAGGTTCCTATCCGTCAAGAAGACAGGGTGGCGATGCGGAAGGTGAGAGGAATGTTAGTCAAAATAGTGGTGGTGGTGAGAAGTATTGATGTTGATCCCGGTTAGAAGTGCACACGAAACCAAACAGATACCCTCGTGCCGATGAGTGGTAAAAAAAAAAAAGTATGCGCTTTATCTGCCGGGGTTGTAAATATTCCATTCTTGCTTTGTGGGTGTCTTTGTTCTTTTCTCAATTCGAAGTTGCGTGCGAGTATTCAGAAATGCTGACTTTTTTATTTTTTAGATCTCAAACTTCCTTATCATTCGAATAACAAATATCGCGCGGTGGTCCACACTTAATGGCACGGACAAAGATTTGAAGCAAACACAATTTCAGGTTGGACATAGAGTAAATGTATCATTTTAATGAGAATAGCTTTTTTAAACTTTACAACAGTATTTAAAGGACGCATTTACTTTGGAAGTTTTTTCTTTAATCCAAAGTTTCGATAATTATAATTACTATTTAAAATTCGGGAATCAATTTAGGAAAGAACAATCATTTCGGTTAATGAAAAAAAAAAAAGTAATTTTGGGTTTGGGCGATGAGATCGTGTCAAACTAAATATCTAGATACTTTGCATCGTTCCCTCTTTTTTTTGTTTATAGTTTTCCTTTGTACAAATCCACTTCTAAAACAGATAATCATCTTTTCTCTGTTTCTACTTCTGTAAATCTCTAGTTGAGTTTTATTTACAAAAAATTGCTGAAAATAAAATGCGAAAAAAAAGTATATACTGTAGTATAACCAGATTGTTATGCTTTCTATAATAAATGCTTTGGAAAAAACGAAAAATACCCCATATACGTATCAAGTAACAACCTATTATTTAAAGAATTACCACTATAAAAACAAATACATAATTATATATTGTATATATTGTGATATAAATTTATTTTATTTACTATCAAATCATATACATGAATCATAATTTATTTATATGCAAGTTTATATAATTTCAAAAATCTAAAAAATGACAAAATTTTTTTTTAAAAAATCTTGTTGATTGGTCGATTTTTTCTGTTGCATCTTCGCCAAATTTGGCATAAACCGCTTCCATATGATACAAAAATAAAATGAATGGTGGCTTGGCTGCCACAAGCATCACACATAACTATAATCACAGAAAGACGTCAGTTAGTTAAGACACTTTGGAAGAGCAGAATTCATAAAGTCACAGCTCTTCAAAAAGCTACCAGGTATCTATCAAAAACACTATACAGATGGGTCAAACAGCTTGAAAAAACTGGTGATCTGAAGCAAAAACATCATCCTGGTCATTCAACCCTACTTATCCTTATATAGAAACGTTATTTTAGTTGAATTACAAAATCAAATAGACATGTAACTAGCAGTGAGTTAATGGAAATTTTGAAAAAAACTTATTCCAGTCTCAATATTGCATCCAGAATGATAAGAGAGAACCTTCAAAAACTTGGATACAAAGTTTATATTCCCTATTCAATTCTCCTTTTTACTAATATCTACAAGAAATATCATATCATCTAGGTGAATACTTACAAGAAAAAATATTGAAATAAAGTTGTTTTTTCTAACAAATCGATATTTCAATTGTTTTGAAATACAGTTAAGGTTTGTTATAAGGAGGGTGAGTCAAAACCAGAGTGGGCATTCATGAAATATCTATTTAAAGTTCATATATAAGCATTTTGTACAAAGAAAATAATTGACTTTTATATTTTTGAAGAAAATATGACTGGAAAATTTTATCATAGCATTTTGACTAATAACTTGTTTACACAAGCACAACAGATTCTTGATAATACATGAAAGTACCAATAAGATAATAATTTAAAGTATCAGGCCAAGCTTATAATTACTCTTCTTAATAAACATTACTTTCGCTTTCTTAATTGGCTATTTTACTTCCCTGATCTCAATCCAATCAAGAATATGTAATCTTTAATAATAAAAAAAATGAAAAAAAGTATTAATATTATCCCTTAAATTATAACACAGGCAAATTTGCCTACTTATTTAAAATTTTAATAGGTTTTTAAAAAATTTTAATAAAATTTTAAATATTAATTTTTATAACTTACTTATATTATAAAAAAATATAGTTTAGGATATTCTTTATTAACTTTATTAAGTAAAAAATTAAAATTTTATTGGAAAATTTTAAAATAAATAATTTTAAACTTTGTGTTTAAAATTTTAATATAAAAAA